TGAAGATATTAAATAATACAATGTATAATATACAATAAAATACAATGACTTAAATCTTATTGTATAGACTAGGTCATCAAATCGGTACGTTGCCTGTAGAGATTTTTAATGTCTAGCAGGTGTCAGTATTCAGTGACACAGTATCGCCACAGTTATCGATACAGTTTTGCTATGGGTCGAAACTCTTCACAACGCCTCATCTACCCATCACTAGTCCATACTGTATAGTCTATATGGAAGCATATGGTCCATAGTATATAGACTATGGTCTATATAGAGTGGTATAGTGTACTGTATTACTCTGGTAGTATGGACTATAGTAGTACAGTCCATACTCGGATCATATAGTATGAACTATATAGTCTATACACTATGCTATCTATAGTCCATATCTTGTCTGTGGTTGTTTAGTATGCTTTGAGCCCTGACTGAAAAATGAAAGTTTGCAGTAACTCAATGCTCATGTTGCTGGTCCTGAAAAAGTCACAAAAATACTAAAAGTATCCACAGTGGATACTTTTTATTAGATTTCTTCAATTTCAGCAGAGTAAAGGTTTGCTTTAATGGGCAATCTAGTCAAGGTATAAGCTGCCTGCAGTCGGTTGTCCCTAATCTTTCCTTAACCCTGAGTGGGATAATGCGGATCCATGGGGTGGATGGAAATGTACAAATTTGACAACCTGTACAATGCTGTTCTCTTTTTCTCCTCCCTGATGTTTTTCTCTTTCAGTTCCATTTAATCTTTCAAATGAAAAAGGAGTTTGTTTGTTTTCAGCAGGTGCGCCAGACTTTCCTTGAACTTTTCACAGCTTTTTTCATCACAGGTTCAACATCCTCAAAACTCACGCAGCATACTAGTTCCATGGCAACGACTGCATCGTTCCTCACCTCTTCCTTCTTTGAAGAGTGTTGAAAGAATATGACGACCTATTCACTAGCCTGGGGATGTAGAATTAGGTAAGACATACAAATCCATTTTTCTGCGCAGTACAAAATAGATCCAACTGCAGCTTATCTACCTTTTCAACATTATGTGAACTCCTTTGACAGTGGCTGACATTTGCAGTAAAAGATGGTTTTTATATGACAAAGATTTGAAGACCTCTTTCTGATGTTTTATTACGTCTACCTTTTTCTTCAGTTCCACATTTCTCTCAGTGAAGACATTTTATAATAAGTAAATCAGTCCTTGGATTTTTTTTGTAAATACTGTATGCAATGCTTTTACAAAAGAAAAAGACAAGGTGAAATTTCAGCAACTACGCTTAGTATGAATCTGGGCATACTGACTGTATCTGTTCAGAGAGGGCCTCTGAATCTGGTGATCCTCTGCCAGGTGGAGGATAGCTCTGTGATCTGGATGAGCTTCTGGTGGAGGGCTTTTGGGTGGATGGTGTTAAAGACCAAGCAAAACAATTCCTGGCATAAGTCTAAGTGGTTGAGGTGGTGCAAGATGAAGTGTGGTCCCATATTTATGGCCCAGAGGTAAATGTTCTGTACCAGGTCCCCAACACATTCATTTACACACTGATGGTGACAAGCTACTGGATAGTAACCCCAATTACTGTCAGAAGCTGTAGGCCAGGTAGGTGAAGTGTCTTGCCGAAGGACACAACGACAAAGGCAGATGGAGCGGGAATTGACCCACCAACCCACCGACTGCAGGGCAAAGTCCCACCACCATCACGACCATTGTTCCACCAGAGGGAGCCTGCAATGTCTTTCAGACGCTTCAACACTAGTCACTCCAAAGATGTCATGACCACACATGGGGCCATAGGTTTTCAGCTGTTTACATCCCTGATGGTGGAGGGCATAGAGCAGGTGGGAACCTCGCAGCTCTTCAAACTTGCTGCAGATCTGAGTGAAGACGGGGCCATTTGGTCAAAGCTGTGAGATTAACTCTGTTAGGTCTTGAAGTTTTCCTGGTCTTCTGATGCTTAGGTTCACATCATCCTCTGAGATCTTTAGGTCAGTCAAGGAGTTTGAGGACAATAGGGTATTTTGTGCATGAAGAATGGAAGCTGTTAAAAAACAACTATTTTGCAGATAAACTGCATAAATTCGGTCATCAAGGCGTTATCTTTGTTACTGTGCAAATTATGACATTTTTGTGTAAACTTATTTAATTCTCTAATATTTGGCCTAACCCTCTTCATGCTGAAGATTATTTACTGCAGTTGAATTTTTCTATTGGTTACAAAGGGATCAATCAGCATGGTTCATGTCAGATACACGCCCCCATGGTGAGTCAGGAGTTGGAATTGCAAGCATGGTGAGCGTTGATTGTGTTTTTCAGTTTGGGTCACAAACCAAAGGGTACCACCTTCCCCCATCAATTGTGTCCAGATCCTGAAGCACCAAATCATCAACAGACCGTCACACTACCACCACCGACTTTGACTACAGGTATGATGTTCTGTTTAGCCAAGTTTTAACCGTAAACAAATTGTCCAAAAACTTGCTCTTTTGTTTGATTACTACACAGAAGAGCATTCAAGAAGTATGGGAGATCATCAAAATGCTGCAAGTAAATGTAAGATTGTTCGTTGTTCTTTATCAACAGTAACGTTCACCTTGCTCATATGGAAGCCATATTTGCCAAGACTGTCTGATTGCTAGATGAGGAACAATTAATCCTGGAGTTCCAAAGCGTCAAAACTTTGCAGACTGACTGCTGTCAATGATTTTCTTTCACACTTGTTCTTTGTAGGTGAAAATTGACATTTATTTAGTAACCCAGGCCTCACAGCATGTTTTGGACATATGACATTTTCTGTGATCTACTCTGTTGGACTTTTAGGGAACTGCTTGACTTTTATGTTATTTAATCAGTTCGGTTGTTTGCTAGCAGTAGAGCAGAGGAACACGTGTCTGTTATGAACGCCGCATTCCAGGTCGAGTTCTTCGACGCAATGCCTGTAAGTAGCAGCTTATAGCCTACTTCAAAACGAGCCTTTATGTTAACATATGAGAAATGAATATGTTTACGTTACATTTCCTCAATGGAATATATACTAGTCAGTCCCAGTGACCGATTGATTGAGGTTTAGAGGTTTGAACATATGAGCTAATCAGCTTCTTAACTCTGTGTACTCTGGTGTACCTCCACTAAATAATAGAAAACTGGGAAATGATCTAATCTATAGAAAGAGAGAGAGAAAAAAGTGAAATGTGTCTAAGAAAGATTTGGAGAAACATAATCAGGATATTAAGAGATGTGTCTAACAGTTAGCGTGCGGCTTGCCCTGCACATAAACTTCAGCCAGACAGTGTGGTCCTCATGCCTCCTAGTAAGAGAAAGCTGGGTTAAAAGGGGGCTGTGTGTTTTTACTGTCATATTGTGTGTTTGTGAACCATCTGGTCTCCACAGGGATCAGCCAAACGGTGTGGTACGTGAGCTTGACAGAAGTCAGAAATTTTTCTTGTTCATTTCACCTGTGGGACGATTGTACAGTCTTCTACCAGATGTTTGCTTGGGATTTGATTGAACTTTTGATTTGTAATGGTCTGTTGTCGAATTACAAACTTTTCTGGAAGGATCCTTAGTTTATAGTGATGGTCTCCTTGACATAGCAAGTTTTGGTTTTTCTTGTATCATGTTTGAGTGAATTACAGGTGCAGGGCATCATGATGTTTTTTTTAAAGCAGGGCATGGCGTTTTGCTTTTTCAGATCTTTTTCCCCCACTCCGAGTTGTGGAACATAAATTCTACTGGCCAGGGAGTAATCAAACCTAATAACCTTGTTATTAACCTTATTAGGTTTCACTTGCATTTCCTAAGTAATAATACGTTACCTTGTTATTAAAGGAAACAAGGTAGCTTGTTTCCTTTAATAAATTGTCCTTTGAAAACTGCTTTGTTACTCATGTGATATTTGTCTGGTATAGAAATCTGTTTGATTTAAAACATTTAAATGTGACAAAAACGTAAAAAAAAACAGAAGCAATCATTAAATTAGTGTATATCTATAGTTAACTACAAAAAGCGACAGTTCATATGTTCAAATGCCAAATTCAATCTATGCCTTGAAATTTTGCTCTAGCTTTATTATTCCATTATTGACTTTTCTAACCAAAGGAATATTATATTTTTATGCTTCATTATAAAGATAGTAAAATAATAATAAAATCAACTTACGTTCCATCATTTATAATACCATGAGAAGCCTGGTGTAATATTTAATACTTAACAAATACAGCAACACTTTTCACCTCTTGGTTTTTAAAAATGTAAACTGCTGCATTCAGGTACAGATAATCTCAGTACATGAATATACCAGTTGTAATCTCCTGTGTTTAACAGCATTCCCTCATGTGTGCAATCCCATGGTGCACTTGTTAAACTTCTCAAGTCTCCATGTTCACATTGTTCATGGCACAGAGGGCAGATTTGCCTCTGGCATGCTCATAGCACCATCCAAGAGTCTGCTCATTATGCTTCCCCCCTACAACAAGTCGGGTGGCCCCAATGAAACGGGAAAGCATGGACAACAACCCACAGAGTCCGGTCCAGAAAGAGGTCTGATCTGTGGGCATAGTGAGAGCGCTGCAGAGATTTAGCTAGTTGATTGTTTTTTTCAATTAGCTTTTTTTTTTTAATAATAAAAAAAAGTAAAATGAAAGGTAAACTGCAATACACAACAGAAAACAATCAGGAGTAAAATTAAAAAAAAAAAATCAATGGTAAGAGAAGTAATTGAATCCAACGTTTCACATAGTCTGATGCCAAACACATAATGACATGATGTAAAAATCAGTGTTTCTCCACCGTAGCTTTTATTTTCAGGCTAACAAATGCAATGCAACACAACACTTCACATGGAATAATCGACACCTGCGAGTCTCACTGATCTCCTCATAGTGCTTCCATACTGAGTTGTGTTATCAAGAATGATTTATGTTGGCATATTAAATGATTACCTCAAAAGGCATATTTGAATAAAAATGCCCGCCTGCTGAAATTCACGAGCATGAAGAAAGAAAAAAAATCTCACCCACACAAAACTCCAAATAAACATTTTACAACTTCCACACTTTTGATCAGTCGTTGATTTGTCATTGAGGTGGTAGTCTTACTCCCGCTTTTACTCCAAGATGTTTCTAGGATATAAATCAAGCTGCCATTTTTGTTTTGTGTTTTTGCCGTCGCCAAATGATACAAAACCTTACCCACAGAAAGAGGCCCATAGTAGAGATTGCAGGCCACTGTTCATGCATTGTGTAACGCAGCAAAGACACAGCAGGACGTGAAGCAATGTAATTATTCTTTTTCACATGGTATGATAAATCACTGCACATGGAGCTGAATTTCCTGTAGGTTCCACTCTGGGAGGTTGTGGCATGTCACGGTGTGAGAAAGAAAACTAACACTTCTTTTGCTGGGTTGCACAGTTTGTCACCAGCTGGTGTGATGGATCTTTGCAGTTGCAGCTATAATTTGACCGCACAGTAACACCCTCATTAAACGATTTCCTTCCCCTGCTAGGTGTGACAGGTCTAGCTAGCTGATCTTGTAAGTTATGGTCGTACATAATCGGTTTTATTATTTCTCAGCTGTCATCTCTGTCTCTACAAATGATGATCCAAAAATAATTTCGCTATAATGAAAAGACTTAGCTAAACTCATGGAAAGTAGCAGATAGCCCAGTTTCCTGACTTCTTTATGTTTCTGTGTAGCTGCCTTTCCATTACAAATGTACACAAATCTTGTGATTTGTGTGATTTTTCTTATCACACAAATCACCTGATTCATGTGATCTATTTAGAAATAGATGTACCTCTGTGAAGTACATCGATCTATGCGGCTGAAAAACCATCCTGGAGCAAAAAATTTTGATTACCGTATTTTCTGCACTATAAGGCGCACCGGATTATAAGGCGCACCTTCAATGAATGGCCTATTTTAAAACTTTTTTCAAATATAAGGCGCATAGAATAGACGCTACAGTAGAGGCTGGAGTTATGTCATGCATCCACTAGATGGAGCTGCACTAACGGGAATGTCAACAAAACAGTCCGACTCCGGTCGGCTGGGGCGTGGCCGGACGATGGTCACCCTTCTCCGTTCGCGCACAGCATGTTCATGTAGAACGTGGTGCTAAATGACCTACAGACGTCCTGATTCTAGATGGTCTGTAGGTAGATAGGTCAGTCAAAGTTTATTAATAGATTACAAACCATTGTTCTGACAACTATCCCAGCATGCACCGCACGCTTCTTCTTCTACAGATGAAAATGAAGTCGGCGGCTGCTTACCATAGTTGCTAGACCTGATGTGGCTCAATATTGGTCCATATATAAGGTGCACCGGATTATAAGACACACTGTCGGCTTTTGAGGAAATTGAGGGTTTTTAGGTGTGCCTTATAGTGCGGAAAATACGGTAAAAAAATTGGACTTTTTTCCTAAATTGTCATGTTTCTATTAAGCCAAGTTATTTTCATAATTTTAATTTATGCAATTCTATAGTTAAAAGAAATACAGCGATTTTTGGGTTAAGAGTTTATGGCTAAAGTTTAGATCTGACCTGCAGTAGTGTTCAGGCAGGAAAGTCCCAATGAGACACGTCTTGTTTTCTGGGCAGTCAACATGGTGGCATAAACATAAACTAACCTTTGAGGAAGAACATCAGAAAAGTCATGAAAGTAAAAGACATAAGCAAAGCATTTCAAAAATACTGAAGCAAATTACACATTTTGTTTGAGTTTATTCCATAGACTTTAGCACAAAATAAAAAGACAGTTTTGCCTAAATCGGTTGCCACTGTGGAGAATTCTCAGAGCATTTTTAAAATTGTGATCTAGGATTGTGAATAAATTACAAAAAGTTTTTCATATAAGTTTTCTTTATTTACCCAGGAAGAAATCCCATTGAGATTAAAAACATCTTTCTCATAAGAGTCCTGCTAAGAGGCAACAACAATTAAAACAGTTCAAAGAAAATGACAAGCTATAATAAAACAGGTGTGTGTTCTTGGATCAGCCTCAGGAACTTTTAGTTTGGAAGTAAAAGCACTCGGTGAGATAAATTCAGTTCATTTCAAAAGTTTTTTGGTACACAGTGAAGAAAAGCCTTCTTACCCAATCGAGTCTGAACAAAAGGGACAAGAAGAAGGAGGCAGTTGTGTGAGCAAAAAGAACCAGTCAACATTATCAGTGCAATTGCAGAAGTCTAAGTAATGTCTTGTAAATAAAAGTTAACCAGTGGGAATTCCCTTAGGCAGCCAGGTCAGCTCATCACATCAGCACGTGTTGACGTTTTGTAGTTTGCAATGAAGAAAGGTAGAGGTAGTCAACCATCCTAGGACATTAAAAAGCAGTCAGATACCATAATCCAACCAGAAAACAAAGATGCAGTGACAAACTGCTTTTTAGA